TATTCCTTTACATAACTGGGGGTATAAATAAAGCCAGCAGGAGGGACCTTGCTCTCTTCCTTTCCAGTGAGGTTTGAGAACGGTGGGTCCCTGGCTCGGTCTGGCTTATCTGGAGCTGAGGCCTACAGTGACTGCTGTTATCTGCCACGCGTGAGGGGAGAGTGCTGGGCTGTGTCCAGCCATCCTGCTTGTTCAAAGGGAAGTGGTGAGATTCTGCTAATTTACCTTCAGTTGTCTGGTTGCTTAGATTGTGTAGACTTTTTTTGGTCTTAGTCCCTTTTCGTCCTTTTCCCTTCTCCCTTCCCGTCTCCCCTTTTGGGGAGCTATTTAGGATTTCTATTGTGGTGTATAGCATTCTCATTGTATATATCTGTCTCATATAAAATATATATATATATATTTTGCTATAGCTTTGGCTGCTTAGGTCGGGGTTTTTTTTCCCTTTGCTCTCTGGGAAAGCAGGTCCTTGTTGGCGGGTTTCGGGGACTTGGTGGGAAGGCAGCTCAAAACTTGTACAATGTGCCAGGTCTCTACACCGAGAGCCTGGGGAGGCAAAAGCCAGAGGCATTTAGAGCCCACCTGGAAATCCCCCTGGGATGGAGCCAGGAGGGCAACTTGTGGCTACACTCACCAAACAGACTTTGAACAATGAGAAAAAAGGTGAGGGTTTTTTTAAGGGATGAGACTTTTTTTTTATGTTTTCTTTGTTCACTTTGCAAAATACATGTGAAAAGCTTTTTGCACATCACGTAAAATTAATTAATTAAAAGTTTGTTACCTCACGCAGAAGCAAAGCTCCTGCAGATATGTAAGTTCCCAGAAAAACAAGTGGCTTCCAGCACTGGAGGTATCAGCTCCAAAAACATCTTGTACAGGAAAAAAATGACTAAGCAAATAAAACGAGTCTTAGCCACAACACAAAATAGGCTGCTGACTAAATGGATGCCACCAGAAATCACACACAATAAGGCAACACAAGACAGTAGGGGCAGCTGCCTAAACTAAACTCTGAAGTCCTTTAGATAAAATGTCTGAAATACCAATTCACCTTGGTATGAGATAACAGATTCCCTGAAGAACAGTTTTATATCAAAATCTGGACCTGGCTCAATCTGTAAGGACTTCCTTGTATAGCAGAAGTGAATACATCCTTTTCCCCAGAGGGAAAATTCTCATTTTGCCAAAACAGGTAAGATGAGAGGCAAACATTTGCACAGTATTTCAGCTGTGCTAATAATTTAATGCTTTAATGAATATTAGGAAACAGAATTACAACTGACCGAATGTGCACATTTCAAATGTGACATTTATTTCCTTTAAATTTGTTCTGTGCATAGACAACTGCTTCGATTTTTCCCTGAAACTAAATCTTGTGAAAACTGACATTATCCAAAAATTATGTTGTGGTATGCAACAAATATGAATTTTCATCAGTTTCTTTTATGCTAATGATAAATCAATGTAAAAAGTTTGGTTTGGCTGTATATATTCTTGAGATAACAAGGAAGATTCCAGGCAGAACACTAGCTATGGGAAACACAAATTCCTGACATTCTTGCAAGTTGATAATTTTCTCTTTTCTTTACTCCTCTGCCTGTTATTAATAAGATAAAGTGTTCAGCCACCATTCTTCATTTTTATTTTACAGTGATGATTTTTTCACCAGTAACAGATTCATTAAGGGTAAGTGAAGTGCAAGCCACCAACTGGTTAGGCAGTTCTCCTTCTGAAAAGCACCTGGACAGTATAAGGGATCACAAATTTTTTTAGAAGTCAACAGTGCCATGCTATTGTGAAAAAGATTGTGAAAAGCAGAAGTAAATAGATGGCAAGGTATGTCATGTAATAAACTCCACATGGTACTGGCACCATCTTGTCTGAGTATCATGCTCACCTTGGACCACTGCCAATCAAGAAAGGCCCAAAACAGCTGGAGATAGGCCAGAGGAAATAAGGAATGATAGAAAATTTGGAAAATGTGAGCACTAAGGAACCAATGGAAAAAATAGCAGTAATTTAACCTGAGGAAGGAAAGGCCAAGGAAAGATATGATAGCAGGTTTCCACTGAGTTAAAGAAGAAAGGAATAATCTGCTTTCTGTGCCTATAGGACTGGACAAGAATTAATGCCTTTTTGGTAAGAACATTTCTACATAGAAAGCAAATGTTTCTTACACTGAGCAAATTGCAGCATTAGAATGGATTGCTGCTTTCTCAGTGAAACTCAGATACATAAACATCTGCCAGGAATGGCAAAAATAGGTTATTTTGCTTCTCAACAACAGAGTGGACTAAAAAGAAATCCCAGTCCCCATTTCATGTCTATTCTTCATGATTTTTTGAAAGCAAGACACTTCAAAACACCAAGCTGGATATTGGTTTTCAGACTGCATAAAACACAGCTCTCAGTCTCAAACAAATTCATACTTTTCAACACTTTTTAATACAATAATGATAGCCATTACAAAAATGAAACCATTAAATAGCATTTCTTCTGTATGTGTTAACATTCTTCCTGATTTCTACAAGCTTAGTAATGTTTCTCTATTCTGAAGGGTATTTACTTCCATTTCTACAATATAAAATCACAGTCATTGAAAAATAGGTCTAGAAGGGAATGTTCAGTTCTATCAACCGGATCTGTCAAGAAAATAGGAATGCAGCCAAAGAAAGGAAAGCCACTTATGGAATCACATTTAACACAACTTCTATTTTAGAATCACAGAATGGTTTGGGTTGGAAGGGACCTTAAAGATCATCTCATTCCAATCCCCTTACAATGGGCAGGGACACCTTCTGCTATCCCAGGTTGCTCAAAGCCCCATCCAGCCTGGCCTTGAACACTTCCAGGGACAGGGCATCCACAGCTTCTCTGGGCATCCCGTGCCAATGTCTGCCCCCTCACTGGAAACAATTTCTTCCTTACAGGCCATCTCAGTCTTCCCTCTCTCAGTTCAAAAACATTGCTCCTCATCCTGTCCCCACAGGCCTTGGGAAAGCATCTTTATCTTTCTTACAGGCCCCCTTCCCATACTGAGAGGCCACAACAAGGTCTCCCCAGAGCCCTCTCCTCTCCAGGCTGAACAGCCCCAGCTCTCCCTGCCTGTCTCCACAGCAGAGGTGCTCCAGCCCCTGGAGCATCCTTGTGGCCTCCTCTGGACTCCTGAGGTCCATGTATTTCTTGCAGTGGGGACCCCAGAGCTGGGTGCAATGCTCCAGGTGGGACCAGTTTTATAACCTGTCCTTTGAAAAAGGCAATTTCAATGGGATATTACCATTTTAAGGTGGTACTCAAAGAGCATCAATGCAGTCCTTACAAATGCTGTATACCGTTGTTTGGATAACAGGAGGGGATAGATTTTTACATTAATAACAATTTCATAAATTATCCAATAATCAGTTAATTTGCTTTGACCAGTAAAAGTACTCTGAGCAATTACTTGGCTGACATATAACAAAAGATAAAGTGAATTTACATATGAAGTGTACACAATATTACTCTCATTCTTGCTAACACATCATCATCACAAGAAAGTAAATGAAGGTATTCATTTCATTCATATTTGTATTTTTGAAGTGTGTGAATATGCAAAGCAACATCAGAGCCTCATCATGCTACAATGTAAATAAACAGAGTATTTCAAAAGCACCTGCCTCTATCACATGCTATTATTGTCAGAGTATACAAAATATGAACGTTACCTTTGAACTGATTAAATGTTTTCATGGAAAAATGTAATTAATTCCATTGTTCAAAAACTGGAATTAAACCATCATGCAAGGATTCACATTACTTCACAAATAATTTGATGGTTGCTACTGATCCTTTTCATTGCAGAGCAGCTTAGCACAGTAAAATTTCTCAGCTTGGCCAACTGATTCATTCCATAAGCCATTTCCTGATACAAAATGCAAAATACCATATAGCTATTATGAAATAGCACCCAAAGTATTTTTAAAAATACATATTATTGTCTGAACCTCCAGAGACACACCTTAAAAAGAAGATACTCATTATTATTCACTGCATCATTTGCACTTTTTTTACATAATATAATCACAGGATTTAAATAACTCAATTTAATATTTATCCAGGAACTGGCAGCCAGTGTTCTACCCTGAGGGACGTAACTCTTCATAAAAAGCTCATTTTACGAGACACTGTAGCAGTTTTGGCATTACCAACACCTCTCACATAAACCATGCTGAAAACTAGAGTTTATCCTGCCAAATGCCTTCTGTACATATGGTGTTTAACAGTGTTCTGTAGGTCTGAAAGCCACTAATAATAGATTTAAGCTAAAAATCTGGAAGCACACATGTATGTAACATAAAAATGTATACAATGCTACATATTCATATATATATTTACCTACATACCCCACATGCATATAAACATACACGATTACAACCATTCTTTAAATTATTTCGCTAACTATAACTCTTGTAAAAAATAATTTCTCCTTCAGTTTCCTGTAGCTTCCTAAATTTTAATTCTCCTTCTATTGACATCAGAGGCAGAACTTCCATTACCCTCAGCAGTACAGAATCAGGCCACAAGGAACACAAAGAAATACATTTAAAGACAGTACATACACATTTGTAAAATCTTCTCACTATGCAAGGATGGTCTTGGTGCTTTATGACGTTGACTGCCCCACTAAACTTCTAAATTAAATTTTAAAATAGCATATTTTAAATACATCTTAGATTAGTGGTCTATAAATACTGGATATAACAACAGAATTTATCTAGATGTGGTTAAAGATGGACCTGCTGAAACGTTCATTGTAGGTTAACAGCAACCTTCACTACCCTTTTGACATTTGAATAGTCTGATTTTATGTCATTGACTGAAGTGAATCAGATAACTTTGTTAAGTAGTATTTAATGTAACTCTTCCTCAGAATTAAGACACTTTATAATAAAGATGAGTGATAGAGTTAAAAGTGTTGATACATTGACAACTAGGTAACATAAAATAATGCTGAGAATACTTACCACTTTCAAAACAGGCATCAAATATAAGATGTCCTTTTTTAGGCTGTCCAGAATAAGCAGCTGGGAGAACAATGTACTTGCTCACGTTCCCTGCTATGATATCGTCACTTCCCGTGGCGCTGCCTGTCACAGTAAAAGTGGAAAAAAAAAAGGCATGAGCATAAACCAAAAAATACACATGTAAAAACCAGCAGAAGGCTATTACCCCATCCATTTCTACAGAGCATAAAATTTGCACCGTTTAACACACGCACCAGTAAATGAACTCTTTTCTTTTCAAAGCCTATTTAAGAATTTGGATATAATAATGGCATCATACGTTAAAGTGCCCCTAAGTAACTACCCACACAGCCTGGCTTCTTGCCCAGGTAGGACCTGTGGCTCAACACTCTCTATGCAATACTCTGATATTCAGCTGGAGCCACTGCTTTTGGTGGGAGCTCTCTAGTACCTAAATCCTGCACGGATTCCCTGGAATTGAACTCCTCACCAGCTTCTTGCTTTATTACAATCCTCGGAAGCATCTTCCCAGCTACCAGCATTAATGGGATCTTTTTCCTCCATCCTGCTGCCTATTTTCAAACATCTTAAATGAACTTAGAACCTTTAAGACTGTTCAATCCAACTCATACTTGAAATTTTATAATTATTAGAAGGAAGAGACATTCACCCACGGAGGCACGTGAATATCTGAGCCTTGCTTGCTTAGGACACAAAACTCACAGAAAGAACTTAAATGAAGAAATTTTTTTAAATGTGAAGTTTATTTTATGATAAAATGTATAAGGACAAAAATGTTCTATACAATGGCATGATTTTTGTCAAAATGTATCAGTAGCATATACATTGAAAGCTTTGTCCTTTACAGGAAAATTATACTAACAAATTGCAGTCTGCAAAAAAATTCATTTCCAAAAAGGGATGGATGAACACTAATTGTTTTTTCATTTGAGAAAGGTACAAGAAAGTAAGTTAATAACTGTATATTATATTATGCATTTATAGTGAAAGAAATACATGCTAATATAATTACCTGTGCATTCCTCTGATATTGGCTCAGCATTTTCTTCACCATTTACTGTTTGGACAAATATTTTACAACAGAAAAACTATTTTCAGTGTTACAGAAAAGCAGAAGAAATGCATATGTCTTCAAGTGCAGAAGGCATGTGATGGGATAATGGGATGATAATATCTTATTTCACTCTGATAAATAGGGCTACTAAGGCTTCTAGAAATAGACTTTTGGTCTGTAGTGATTTTTTTGACATTTAAATGGGTTATGGGGGATGATAAATGTGACATAAAGCTCAATTTGTTTTATTTTTATATTGAAAACTATTTCACACAAATGTTACAAGCAATTCATATCGGCCCTGAATGATGAAAACAGCTTATTAATTAAAACTGACCTTTCCATATATAAAAGTATTCCACCTCTTGAGGTAAAACACCTTAGCTGAAGTAACAAATTATATCAATGTATTAGTGACACCACAGTTAAAGGGTCTGTCAGGCTTTCTATTATATATATTCACAGGTATATAAATCCCAGATTAAAAAATATGTATATGCAGGTCAACATTCAGCATATAAATCCCCAGGGAAGAAATTTGAAACTCATTCTCTTTGAGAATTAGTACAACAGAACAAAGAGAATTAATTTAGACCAGTTCTTACTTTATCATAATACAAAAATGTAGACATTAAATAATGCATGCTATTATTTTTTAAGCAAAATTATTATTTGCAACCTCTAGGTTATTTGTTTTAGACTGAATAATTACCCACAGACAGCAATCTGCGGCATGTAAATTGGTTTCTTTAAATGTATAATTGCTACTTATGGTATTTTTAGCTGGATGTTTTTTAGCAGAATCCTGATACAAATTGCTTAAAGCCTGATAACACCAGAGGCAAACTTAGACCTGGGTGGGGCATCTGTGTATCTGCATGGCCATGATCCTGTCACTTGATAAAATTCATCCCTCTGCATCATGAGACCTGTAGTTCAGAGGAGCAGCCAGAGGAAACCCATTTCCTCAGTTTCACTCGAGTGCCACTTTGATTAAGAGCCCCCCTACACCCATGGCAGTTAAGATCAGTCAGGTTGTTTGCAATCCAACACATAGAATCAACAAAGAAAAATTAATGGAAAACCTGCTGATTTCCACCACGAGTGCCTGAGCTGCCAGGGACCAAAGTGAAAGAATGGGAGGCAGAGATCTGAGTAGAGCAGTTAGAAGACTGAACTCCTCCTGGTAAATATTCCCTTTTACATCTCAGCTAAAAGTAATAGGCTGCTTATAAATTGAGAAAGACAGCTGGGAAACACCACTTAAAGATGAAGAAACTAGAAGAGATTACATTCATAACACTGCCACCACAAGACAGTGTAGGAAAAGCAGGCAGAAGGCGGAAGAGAGAGCTACATCTCCCTGGCAAATTAGAAAATCTGCCAATGGAGCCTTCACATGATGCAGAAGGAAGCTGTCAAGTAACTGTGTCCCAGCAAAAAGTTTCCATCTGCTCCTCCTGACCTAATGTAGCCCTCAGGAATGAGAATAAAATCATCAAATAGCCTGTAATTCATAGTCCTTTAACAATATTAATATCTCCTTGCGTGTTCTTTATCACACAGCGCTTCAAATATTCAGAACGTACTGTTGTTATATTTCCAGTTATATTATCTTTAATCTGTAAACGTGCAAAGCTGCAGCCTTTGAACCTCACATTATTATAGAGCACAACAGCACTCTGTCCCTTCTGGCATGTTCTCCTTGGGTGATAAAGGAATGGCCAGACCACTGCCTGAAAAAGAGCCTGCACTGCTGCATGGCTCGATTATAAAACAAGGCTTCGCGCTGCTACGACCCGCCCCAGAAAAAGGGGAGATGGGGTAACCCAGGTTCTTATCAATAATTCCCGCGGGGTGGATTAGAGTGAAACGACACTGAATAATCGGTGCCTGAAAACATATATCGGTAAGGTTTATTGTAACAATTTTGTATCAACAGGTATGCTAGCAGTTTGGGTGTTGTCATATAACAATGTGACAGAGAGATAACCTTTGGCGGGGGAGAAAACGCATAGGGGAGAGAAAGACAGGATAAGAGTAAGGAGAAATAAAAGATGAGAGTGGAAAAAAGGTATATAGTCACCGCCCACGGGGTCCAGCGATGACATTTGGTAGTTGCCGCTTCCATGTCTCAGTTGAAGTGGCGGCCTTGATCTGTGGGGGTGAAGGAGGGAAACCCCCACACGCCAAGTTATGAGTTATTATATCCATGGTCAGTGTTCAGGGGCCACGCCTCGAGCCTCCAAACTCTCCCTGGGCCTGCGCAGAGTTTCTGTGTCTGGCCTGGTTCCCGCCTTTCAAAGTTGGCAGAGGGGGGGATGGGCTTTGATGGGCCATCAGAGCTATGAACTCGGCTTTTCCTGCTTTTTCAGGGCTTGACACCTTCAGCGCTGGAGGGAGGGATGGGCCCAACTGCCCATCAGAGGTCAAAAGCCTGCAAAAGTCTCCTAGAATGCATAAATCATTAACCGTTTCAGTCTCTGACAGATGTGGCGAGTGTTGCTGAGGATACATCCCCATCCTCGGGTGGAGAGAATGCCAGCCTGGCCTTCAGCCCTCTGGCCAACACAGAGGTACTGCCCTCACAAGTGGGGAGCCCTAAGCAGATTTTTCCTGACTGAAGGCAAAGACAGAACCTGGTGGGGAAGGGAAATAGCTCCTCAATCCGAGACAAATTGAAAGAAGAGAATTAACTGAAGTACATCCTGCACATTCCACTTAAGGAGAGCAGATTCTCCTTTGAAAGAAAAGGTTAGATAAGACAAGCAAAGGCAAAACTTAGCAAAGAAATTGTCTCAGATCATAGGTCTTATTTTGTCAATTATTTTTCTTACAGGTTGTAAGAAACATAGCTATTTTAGTATAATTCTTCATAGCTTAAACTCCAGGAGGCTCCAGCAAATCCCCAGGATTTACTTTTACTGCAGTATTAAACTTTGCTGGTAATTTTCTATCAGGTATAAAATCTGTAGGTGCCTGAAATCTCTGTATAAGGTTTTAAAATATAACCTGGACAGAGTCTTCTGGTATCTGCATTCATCACTATTGTCATTGTGGATGTATTTCGCATCAAACTAGTGAAAATTAATAGAATCACTTACAGGATTCATAGGAGGAAGAGTTTGGAAGCTTACAGAGCTTCTTGCCATTCTTAAATTCAAAGGCTAAAGCCAGCATTTTTTTTTTTTTTCATTTAAGCAAAGGTGAAATCAGTACTCGCTGCAATAAACATCATGCAAATTTAGGTTCCTTTTCTTTAAGAACTGTAGTTTCCAGGGGAAGGTGTATATTTAGTAAGTAATAGTCACTCTTTGAATTGGGTAAACAACGAGCTCAGCTTCCAGATGTGCCAAAGCTCAGAATCCACAGAGTTAGCAGCCAGCAGCTACCCTCATGCTACATTAGGTAGGAGAGCACAGCTACATTAAAACAGACATAGAAAAATAGAGTGAATTTGCCTGGAAAACCTGCATCATTCTTCTAATTATACTTACTGCCTAATGAAGAGAGATAATTAGAAAGGTGAGGTAACATGAAAAGATGTGGTAACTGCAAGTGAGCTTTGTAGAAGTCTTTCTTTAAATATTACAAATGTCATCAAAACACCTCACATTCTGTCATGAGATCCTTATTTTAGAATGAAATTAGGATACATTTTTCTATTGAAAACATCTACACTGTAAAGATCTAATACCCAGATTCCCATCATCCAGGGACCAAGAAAAGTTGCCAGGTATCCTAAGGAAGAGCTCCATCAGCCTTGAGCAGTATTTTTAATGTAAACCCATATAAAGAAGTGAATCTGAACTTTCAATACAGTTTGCAACAAACAAAAATTCGTTCAGATGACCAACAGCAACTCCTGTTAGCTCCTAAAAATAACAAGTCCCTAGATGAACACTGCTCAACTCACACTTTGGCTAAGTAGCACTTAGGAGGTTATGTCAGAAATACTGTCTGCTCCACAAACCTGAAAACTGGAAACAGTGTAATTTTATCAAAATTCTTTTAAATTATAGCACTTTTATAAATATACAGTCTTAAT